TATATATGAGTTACCGGATGCCCTTCACATTGAAGACCATTGAGCGATAATCTTCCGCATGACAAGCTGTCATTTCATTGTCAGATGATGTTGGCACGACAAAAGGGTAGAAAAAGGAGAAACTCATAATAGTTTGAATGTTTCAACACAACTATTCACCGGGCATCATTTAGATGACGTGCACGACATAATACAATGACGTGCTTTTTAACAAATACAAAATGTAGTTAGACCATAATACGTAAGGTGGATAGACCATCTTATGCGTCCACAATGCCGAGCAAGTAAGAACATTCTGATCAATCACATGATACAACTAATCTTTATCAGTCTAATAAATTACTCTAGAGCGTCAACACAAAGACAAGTACAATCGTCGGTCGTTTTTCGATGACACTTACAATAAGTGGAGGCTCTGACAAAAGTGTTGAGAACTTCTAAGCCTGAAATGAACGAAGAATCTAGTCGAGAAAGTGATAGAATAGAGATACATGAAATAGTACAGCGTATATGATATTAAATAAATTACATGCAGAAAAACAGCCCACATTACGCACAGAGAAACACAGAAAGCTGACTGTACCGTAAAGAACAGACATGCAGATAGATCCCGTAATGAATGGGAATAGGATCCCTTAAAGTTTTGTTATCATCATTATTTCCTAGAACAGAGTCTAATAGAAAAATAAAAATCTACCGTATGGAAGGTTGAAATTGTATAAGATTGTGTCTTTATTGAATCTCGAATCTTGCTATCGGGTTTCGGATCGGAATAATTAGCAATATATGTTAGTAATTCTAAACGACTACGGACCAAATTTACCCAAACATCTCCCAATATGACTAATCGATTTGCCGAATGTGTTGTTCCATTGCTTTGTGACTCGTTCATTGGGCTAGCAATAAAAAAGCCTATCACCCTCCTGTCGTTTATTGAAGTCCTAAATAACAACTTCCTTTCAGTTGCTATGCCGCACATTTGTTCATAAGTAATATCCTTGAGCGCCTTTATTAACACTCCACTAATCATTGAGAATTCGGTGGTCGGTGCCATTTTCGGTGTCGTAGTGCAGTAGACCATTAAAGTTGCATTTCGAATTACCAAAGATGTTCTTATAGTAGTACATGAGTGCCTGCACTAGACAGTCGATGGCAACGTTGACAACTATACCAACAACGTTTTGTCAAGACCCGAGGCATACAACATAAAGTATCATTTCATCCCACTCTATTATAATGTTTACTTTAAAAAGAGAAACATTTGTCTTTTTTATTACATGGTTCAAAGAAGCCGTATTACTTGTTGTATAATGGACAGGAAAGATGCTTAATTCCCTATCCTCATATCAGCTCCATTTCGTAAGTGTACTTAAGATACCCTGTGTTCTCTCCGCTCGATCATAGCTCTTTACGTTTTCGCGGACACCAAACCCTCGTTGGCCTCAGCGGAGAACTGTTAACGCACGAGGGTCTTTATAGCCTGTAAAATCAGTGATGACCTTTACTTTTTTTTTATTACTAGTGGTTTATAAGGGAAAAAGTAAATATTTAGCTAATATTTTGTTCTGTTATTACCCAACAACGTATTTCGCTTATACATACACATACATAGTTACTGAAGATCAGATTTTTTCGGTGCGTAATTTCTTCAGGGCTATCGTAGTTTTGTTATAGGCATTTAGAAATAGCTCAAATGTCTTGTTATATACCACGACCGCGCAATCTTTCAATTTGTTTGCGAAGGTTGTCTGAAATCGGTGTGTTATTCTGCGCAGAGGCCTAAGATTTGACCGCTGCTAATCCTGATATAACTAACAAAATCGCTAATGTGGCGTTAACTGAAATAACATTTGGCAGTGGCGTTTCATGATTAAACATAAACGTGCAGACAAGTGTTAAGAAATACATGATACCGTGAAGTGTATGAGGACTCATTCAAAGCAAGACTTGAATCTAAGTATACTAGTAGTTCAAGTTCCAAAAGTTCTTTTCGTGTACAAGTGAAGGTGATAGTAGTTGCGTTTCTCGATGCTTGCTACCACATTAGAGGGCGCGAAAATTTGAACGACTGGTTGCAGCCGAAGGCATCTCATATTAACGGGAGATTTGTCTATGAACTTTCAAATTGAACTCAGTGGTCTTAGTAAAAGAGAATTACCATTTCGAGTGGGGCGTAATTTACATAAAATAAATCTATTTTCTAGAAAATAGACAAAATGATTTCTAGATTTTCTCAAACATTCACATACATTACTAATTGTATATAGTATTAATAGTAGAAACATGATAACGAATTGGGCCGATATATATTGACTTGAGGCACTCAGATATAAGCTATTGCTATCATAGTTGTTACCGAACGCCAAACATGCGCTGGCTTTTTGTCGTTTTCCGTTGCGCTTGCCTGTATAGGATGCGTGTTATTTTACTGAATGTTTTGCCGAGTTTATACACAGAACACGTGCTCAGTAGACACGAAAGAAAATTCCCTAATTATCCAACAACACGGGCTCTCACTTGTTTTGGGCAGCATTCTTAGAAATACTGCAGTTGATCATGCTCATGTGACTGTGGAATATCTGTTTTTTCATATAACAACCCAAGTGTATCTAATAATATATTGTTTGAGTTGAGAACCTGCTTTCTGTATATTATTTTTTCGATTTACATCACTTGTTAACAATGCCACCATGCGTTATAAAATATTGTTTGGAATTTTTTTGATGCTCAAATTTAACAGAGGTATCGCGCATGTTCAGATGCCGATGTCGAACGTGTGTCTTAATTTTCGTGTGTTTTAATGTGCAGTAATTTGGTTCCGAGCATTTCCTTCAAAATTTTCAGTGTATGACATGGTCACAGTGTTTCGTACAAAAAAAACATCGAGCTATACGAATCACTGCTGATAGCATCCATTGCAAGAACGAGTTATTCACGGCAGCGCAAACTGAACGACGATAAGACTCGTGTAATGCACGCTCAAAATAAACTAATTCTAGACAATTCTCTTTTCTCTTGTTATACTTAAGGTTAAATTTTATGACATGGGTTTTGAGGAATCTCATGATCTCGAACTTACAAAAAGCGTACTATCTGTGCTCTGTTTCGTTCAGAACATTACGTGGCTACAGCAACGCGTTTTTCTTTTTCCCACATCTTTTATGCTTTGGGATTCTTAATGCCCATCCTTAAAACGATTACAACTACTGCTTTTTTGCTGAAGGCCTCCCTGCCCATTGTTTTTATCACCCTTCGATGAATTCTATCAGTGGCCTCACTTTTGAGAAGAGACAGAACTTGACCACTGAGTGTTGATGTTCAGCACTAGATGACTATGAAACTCAATCAATTTGTAGTCGTAAATATACAACAACTTGATGACTTTTAGTGCCAATTTTACCTTAGAAATTATTCGAATTTTTACGATCTTTTCTGATCAGAAGCATACGCTAAATATTTTACTGTTCTACACAGAATGTAATTTAATTAAGAAGAAAAGAAATTATAATAACTGTAAGTTATGATTCTGACTAGAGTGCGACCCTACGGGGCGCAGGATATCGCCACAGAAACGATAATCAACATTTTTAGTTCTGAATAATCAGAGTCCATTTTACGTACAGATTAGGCTGTTGAGATCAGATTGGTAAACGCTCTAGCGCACGTAGAAGGACTGGTACGTTTGCTGCCAAAGTGAAAGTTTTCTTGCTATTTATTCAGAGTAGCGGCTGCTGTGGCTCGAACAATCATCACCGTGTGGTTATGACATGATGTATGCAAGGGTGAAACTGTTTCTGGACAAAAAATTAAAATAACTTACCGTATACATGAATTAGCATGACAGAGGACATATGATCGTTTGGATTTTTGCGCGCTCCAGTATTTAAAAATACTAAGGCTTTAACCTATTTCTCTTTATCGTAAAGATACCATTATACACTTATGATTTGTTTCATATTTCTTATCAAACAATGAGAAGCAAACGTTTTGATTAGCGTTTTCTAAAAAGAAACATCTTCGAACTGGAAATATACGTTTGAGATTTTTTTCACTTTCCGAAGGTGGTATTCTTACGCGTACAGACCGTTGCACTTATGCCCAAAGAACCACCAAACAATATCCTTCCTTCTAAATTTTCGGTAACCCGTTATCCGATCCCATTGGCCGTAAATGGAACTCAGTTCTATCGTTAAAATAGAAGCTCGTCATTGATAACACTTCTATGTGTTTCACATATTCATATCCAATCGGGCACTTAAGTTGTTTGCTCAAGGTTACCGTACTCGAATCTCATCCCCAAAAATAATTAAGGAGGGTTTATAATTATTTTCAATATAGGCTTATTTAAATCAAAGGGTCAGGCTTCATTTACCACACCTGTCTAATACTAAGGGACGCTTCAAATCCAGTTTCTTGATTAACATTAAGATAGGTGGGGATGGCGGCGGAAATGCAAGAACTTACAGGGCAATTAGGGCAGCGACGATGCCCCCAACGCCAACATCCCATCCGGATTCTCCGAAGCCCCAACCGCCGAAGGTTCCGGCAAAGGCAACTGCCACGAGAGCGATAACTTACTTTTTCCTAATAAAATGAAAATTGCTGATATAATAAAAGAAATACAATAGAAGAGTGTTCTAGATTCGCTTTAATATAGGCATAAGTATAAAGATTTGATACTCTGCCTACATGTGCTTCTAATGAGTTTTCGAACACGAATCTTAATAAACGTTTTAGAAGACGTTTATCAACTTTTTAGTCTGTGACACAAAAATAATTTGAGAGTTGGAGAATCCCTAGTCTACTTCTTTATAAGTCTTACTTCTACTATCTTCTACTATCCTTCTGTTCTAACAAGTGTAAGATAAGCAATGTCAAATGGTTTTTTTTTTCT